TATATATATATAAAATTTCCCATTAAACAATTTAATTTACCTTTTTTTTATATACGTTAGATAATTAAATGTATTGCAAAATAAACAAGGACATAATGAAATGTAAAAATAGATAAATGTATTGTAGAACACCCCATTAAATAATGAAATCTCACATGAATTTATTTAATACACCATTTAAAAAAAATGAATGTAGGATTCAACTGTATATGAACATAAAATAAATCAATTTACCACCAAATAATGAAGTGTAAAATGAAATACATAATCAAATGCTCTTTTAAATATAGCATTAAATTAGTATTAAAAGATGGAGTCTTGTGTTTGTGAACTAACCAAGCTTGTTTGGAGGATAATTCCAAAGATGGAGAAAACTCTTTGAGGGGATTGCTTAAAACCCATGAAAATTTTTTTTTCTTTAGCTATTGCTTTATCTTTATGAATTATTACTCTAAAATATTCGACCTCTTTCCTCACTTTTATATTACACAGCTGTTCCAAGGAATAATCATGAATGTTTAATAAAAGTATTTATTAATAAAGGCACGCATACACATACATTAATAAAGGCAGACAAAATACATTATTTAGTATTTTTTCAATATTTAAAGAAGGGCTTGAAATATATAATTTTTATGAATAGGTAAAAATAAAATCTGATTTTTAGTAAAATATTTATTTTTCTCCCTTTTCTTTAGAATTATATGCTTCTCTGTGTTGGTCTGCTATTTCAAAATTTAAGCAAACAATCATTTTCATTATTTTAACGTAGTGAGATGAAAACAGAGAAACCATGTTTGTCAATTATCTTTTCCTTCCTTACTATTGAAGGAAATTTTACCAATTTTCCTTCAATAGAAGTTTAAACCTGTTTTCGTTACATTTTTCTTTTTTGGAATATATATTATTTATCTTATTTGTTTTGGTATTTGAATAAAACAAAACATTCTTTGCTATTCGGGAACGTTAACTGCTCAATGCCATAAGGACTACGTTTCCCACAATCCCCCACTCCACGTAGGCAAAAGGCATCTTACGTTGAAATGCCTCTTCTTGTTTTGACAGTTTCTTTTCGATAAACCTCTGCACGGATACTGAGCTTATCCGGGATACAGACCACCGGGAATTTCAGTGGCTATCCACGGCGAAGCTACGGTATTTTACCTTTAATATTTTATTAATTTTCTTATACAACTGTATTTTATACTCTAAGACTGATTCGATGTTCTGCTAGTAGCTAACCCCCCTGACTTCTGTCAGCTAACTAGTTACCCTTCTAGCTAGCTAGCCACGCATGCTAATACACATTTACTAACGACGCCTGAAGAGCGGAAAAGACTACCGATCAGAGACATGTTCGTTTTTAAAAGCCCTCATTTGAACCTTCTTTGTGCCGTTGCTGGGTCGGTGTTGGTGTCAGTTTAATTAACACAGGGCAGCTACTTGGAGAACTATAGCAACACTCTCAGCTTCTGGTACTAGCGAGAAATATTCAGTCACACGTGAGATTTAGGTTGATTTGAAGCATCTTTGATTAGGCAGTAGCTTAGCCTCACCAACAGGTAAAGCTAACAGAAAATGTAGGGAAATGCTAATCCTGGATCGACCAACTTTCAGATTAGCTGCTACTTTGGATTTTAATCTGTTTGAAGCTTCGAATCGGGCTGTAAAGCGTTTTTTTTCTTTATTTTTTTTTAAAACTCACCAAGGCTGATCACATCAGACCCTAACCCCGCCTGATCTTTATGTTATGACAACAAATGATGTATTTGAAAATGAAACCAGTTGGTGGATTCTAGGGGATTTTTGTTTGGTTTGCAGTGAATGATGATGATATGACTCACTGTTACCTTATCTGTATTTTCTCAGCCACTAGACTTGTTTGATTGTGTGAGTTTGTTTAAACCGGCTGTATAGATGATGGGAATGACAGAAAGTCTGTGCTGGGGTTCATGATGGAAGCTACCTGATGTTGGAGATTGGGCTGTTTTTCCTGTGTAGTCCTGTTTCTCTGACTGTGGCTGGCTGGATGGGCTCTCCATCCTCTGACATGGGAGCTGGATCGTCTGCCTGGCTGTGTGTTTCCTGGACGGGGCTGCCTTTTACAGCTGCTTTTTGTATTACTGCTTCTGTCTTCTTGACTTTCTTATTTTCGTTAGTCCAACAGTTTGTAATGTTCTTTTTTGTTTCCGCATTTTTTTTATTTTACTTATTTATTTTTTCCTACTTGCTTTGATTCTGTTTTATTTTCCTATATTTTAATCATGTAAAGCACTTTGCATTGTCTTTGTACTGAATTGTGCTATACAAATAAATTTGCCTTGCCTTGCCTTGAACCCCGCTCGCACTTAGCATGGTTCTGCTGGAGGTTTCTTCCTGTTAAAAGGGAGATTTTTTCCTCTCCACCGTCGCTACAAGCATGCTTAGTTTTTTAGATAGCATCTGAGTCGATGGAATCCACTGGTATTTCTTGGATAGAAAACTTTTAATCAGTTTGACTGTGTGATCTGGTTGAACTGTAAAGGGCCTTGAGATGACATTTTGTGAATTGGTGCTATACAGATAAACTGAATTGAATTGTTTACAGATGCTACTGACAGTGCAGTGAGCTGATTTAGGGAGCCCCTTTCACCATGGCAGATGGACATGATGATGATGTCATCCACCTGGGCAGCTTCAACGTGCACCGTAGCCAAGGTGAGAAGCATCACTTCCAGCATCTTGAATGGAAAGAGAAAAAAAATACCATGATTGCTTCATTTTCAGCCATATTTGAGTTTCGTTCAGATAGTATTTTTTTGCTCACACATACCTTTATTTTTTGACTCCTTCCAATGTTGAGGTTATGAAACAAATATCAGCATCAGAAAATTATCAGGCACTTATTTCAGATTAATAAAGCTATCCTAACTGTGTGGAACAGTTTTGGTTTCTGAGATTAACTTCAACAAACACACACAGGTGGAAATGTTTTGTGTTGTTTAGTGCTCTATGATCCGCTTCTCTGTTAGTGACACGTGTGTGTGCGTGCAGGCTCTCGTGCCGGTCAGAAAGAGCTCATCACCATTTCTGATGACTCAGATGAGGAACCTGTGACTTTTCTACCCGGTAGTCCTGTTTTAGTCCCTGACGACGCAGATGACGACGACGTCAGCATATTAGAGGTGATTGAAGTGATTTTTTTTCTTTCCTCTACAGGTTTCCTTTTTTCACTTTTAATGATTTTGTTGTTTTAATTTCCTCACAGCCGCCGACTCCTCCTGCGCGAAGGAATATAATTCGCCAAGCGGCCAAATGGAGCGGCATCTTACACAATGTCGGAGGTCAAAGCAGCGCGACGGCTGCCACCGTGGACCAGGGCTCCACCCCCTCTACCTCCAGGGACGCCAAGATGAACCAGCCAGCCGTACCTGCGACGCCTGTCTCGCCATCGCACGCACAGCCTCAGCCAAAGTTTCATCCGTGCGCCCGGCGACGGGACGATGTGTTGGACCGCTCTGCAGACACCCCGTCTACCTCCACGCACGGCAGCGGCACGTCGTCGGATATGGCCAGAGTTATTCCGGTTCAGCCAAGCACATTTGGGCCGCCGCAGCCCCCTGCTGGCTCCTCGGGACATTCGCTGCAGCGTAAGACCACCGCCTCTTCCAGTGCTGCACAATATAACAGCACAGGTACGGCGATCGCTTCTTCCTCCTCAACGCCTCAAGAAACGCCGTGCACGAGTGGACTACGGGTACCAGCCAGTACTCAGGCCAGCACTTCATTTGCACATGTTCAAACTCCCGCACGGACTCAGCCTCAGCCTGGTACTTCTGCACAGCTCCAGACCAGTAGAGCCCCACCCACACAGCCTCAGCTCATCCAGATCAAGAGGGTAAACCTGCTCGTTCTTCCGCAGCAGCCGAGCATCCAGGCTTCGGCTCTAATAACCCAGCCTCAGCTGCAGCCTAGGCCCACGAACTCCATGCAGCCCGCCTCGCACAATCAGATGCAAGGCAACCTGGTTCAGATTGAGCCGCAGCCCCTGGCCCAGGCCCCGGCCCAGCCTGTAGCTCGGCCCGCTCAGACGCCTCAGGTCGTACCAGTCGTCCCGCCCGCAGTTCTTATCGCAGCTGCCCCAGAGAGATTAGGTCCTCCTGAGGCAGGTCACCGGATTATCCTGGGGAGTCAGGCGCCTGTGGAGGCTGTTCCCAATCCCCCGCCGCAGGCCGCAGCCGTTCCTCCACCGGCCCGCGTCCACAACGGCAGGCAGCTTAACCCTCGAGTGCCCAACAATGGAGGAGAGGCCGGGCTCCCTCCGGCCCCGAACCCTGAACAAGTTAACCCGGCCCCCGCTCTGGTGGCGGTGCCCCCTGCACCTGAGGCTGCTCCCCAAATAGAGGATGCCAGACCCGGACCCTCGGTCCCCCAGGAAAGACCAGATCAGCAGCCTCATGTCAGAGCCCTTGTCGCCGGTGTTGTGAGTAACTCTTCTCTGTTAACCACCCAGTAGAGCTGAAGTATTCACACCTCGTTTTTCACATTTTTTCACATAAAAACAAAACAAAAAATAACTTAAAAGTTTGTGTTTTATTGTTGCATTTTAATACAAAGTAATTCAGAACTGTAAGGAGGAAGGAAAATGTTGCCGTTTTTAAGATTTACTCCAAATTAGAAAAAACAATAATAATGCAGCTGCTTTTCTTCTGATTCCTTCAGTTATTATTTAGTGCAACCAGATGCCAACAGAGCTTAACTGGTAATAATTGAATGTCAATGGAGACTTTACTGACATTAGTGAATGAGTGGCATCATCACTGTAAAACACGACGGTGGGAATACACCCTGCTATGGGAATACTCATCTTCATGGGTCTGAAAACTGTGAATTTAATTTTGATCGTCACATTTTCAGCCATTTTGTTGCAAATAAACGTCCTCATGATGCTGCCATGTAATCAGATGGTTTAGTCAAAGTCCAACAGCAAGGCCAGATAGAAGCTCTGGGGAAAGATTGACACTGAGGTTCCCAGATGCACTGGGTCAGTATGGAAACATTTCTCTCTCTGTAAGGGGGATGTGTGCCCACAGCCTGATACGGCCACCTCTATGTTATAAGGCTGTGTTCAGTGATGAAGCCTTAGTTTTTTCTTTACTGAATTTATATTGAGAATCAAATGGCACATAGGTGGGCGGCCTCTGAGGAGGAAATCTGTGCATCATTCTCCTTCACACTATGATGAATTGATCTATCGCACCCGACCCCCTCCAAAGGTGTTAGGATTTTTTGTTTTAGCTTCAAAAACGTTTAGAGAGGTGTCAATACTTTCACAGAGCTCCATGAGTAAGTTGAATTGAAACCATTTCTGGGTTTTTTCTGTGTCTTCTCCAGCTGGATCTCCTCCCAGATGTCCAAGAAGCATATGTAGCAGAACTGATCCTTAGACATAATGTGAAAGACTTGAATGAGTAAGAAGCATTTTTTTTTTAAAGTAGAAACAATGAACGCCATTTTATGTCTCTGCAGTTCTTCCCCTCACATGCTCTCTACTTCCAGGATCTGTAACCTGCTGCTGGAGAATCCAGAGTATCCCAGGAGGGAGACGGCTGCAGCCACAGCTGCTCCCAGCAGCATCCTGCTGGAGTCAGGAGACACCCAGGCGGAGGTGGGAGGTTTTTCTGGCTGCATCCATTCCTGCTTCATGTAGGCTCTCCTTCGCTAAACCGAAGGGTAGCAAAATAATTAAGGGCCATTTACTGAGCAGCTTTTCCATTTCACGTCTTTTGGTTGTTTTTCTCGGCCTACGTGTGTAGATTGACCTGAGGAGCCTTGTAGCAGTGAGTGTTTTCGCTTGTGTCATGTTTAAAGCAATGAAGGACCCGTGTGATTGTGCTTTCAGGTGACTGAGGATCTGTTTGACTATGCCAAGCTGAGCACAGTGGGGCCGGAGGTAATCATGCAGGCCGCTGACTTGCTGATGGCGGACTTCAGAATGCTCAGCTGTCAGGATATTAAATGGGCCCTGAACTCCCTGAAGGGACACTATGCAATCACACGCAAGGTAACCCTGCTGCTGGATCACAGCATGCATCTCAGAAATCCTGCCTTCGTCCTCCCAACCTCTTCCATCTACCTCATGTTTGGATTTGATTTGCTTCTTGTTTGTAGGCCTTATGTGAAGCTCTGAAGAAGTGGCAGGAATCCGGGGATTCTTCAGGCAAGAGGCGACGGAGCAGGACCTCCACGGAACGCTGGTACATCGATTTCCATTTTCAGCAAGGTAAAAACACGACAAACTGGTTCCTCCTTCACACCGAACTGCTCTGATCTATGTGGCCTTGTTTTGATTTTTAAAAGCAGCTGAGTTTTTCAGAATGGTTTTCATTGTTTCATTTAACCCTGTTTGCCCATCAGGTTCGTTCAAGTTGGACAGAAGGATGTACTTTTTGGAGAACGACCGCCGCTACTGCAGGACCTACAAAAATCTGGAAGGTTCCATTCAGAAGGAGCTGTCGTTCTATCAGCAGAAGGCCAAGGAGTGGGCAGAGGTAATGATCTGTTTTCATGCTGAACCCATTAACCCTACTGCATTGAAATAGAACATGGCAGCTGATGATCCAGGCTTCGTCTCTTCTCTGTTTTATTATTGCTGATGTGATGTTTTCTCCAACAGCGACTAGGGATGGGCAATATGGCTTCTAGATCAGGATATTTTGTGGTTCTATCATGATAATGATAAAATCGATGACAATAAAACTCTTTATTCAATCTTTGAAGACGTTCTTAGCTAACTTTAGCTGCAACTTAAAGCCCCAGCAATCTCCACGATCGAAAACGGTAATCCTGGAAAAAAAAAAATTAATGCAGACCTAAAACAGACTCCTTCAGGACACCAGTTACATAAAGAAATGTTATTTATATCACTAAGCCTACTGTAGTAACAATATTTAATCATATTATTTGATTCTGCCATTGCTCCAACGGGGGAAAAAAATATAATCAGAGTGATTATTTCTGTTCTTTCAAAAGCTCACTTATAAAATCAGATAATCAACAGACAACTTTATAATAAATTGCATAGAAAACCCTACTGTATCACAAATTCAATTCAATTCAGTTTATTTATATAGCGCCAAATTCACAACACATGTCATCTCAAGGCACTTTACAGTTCAACCAGATCATACAGTCAAATTGATACAAAGTTTTCCATCTAAGGAAAACCAGTTGATTGCATTGACTCGTTGACTCAAATACAATCCCTCACACTAAGCATGCTTGTAGCGACAGTGGAGAGGAAAAACTCCCTTTTAACAGGAAGAAACCTCCAGCAGAACCAGGCTCAGTGTGAGCGGCCATCTGCCGAGGCCGACTGGGGTTCGAGGAGACACAAAAGATACAAAAAGCAGCTTTAAAATGCGGCCCCGTCCAGGAAACACACACCAAGCAGACGAGCTCCGAGCCAGCTCCCATGCCAGAGGATGAAGAGAGCACATCCACCCAGTCACAGGACTACACTGGAAAACAGGCCGATCTCCAACATCTATAAACAAGGGTGTTGATGGAAGCAGCACAGCTGATATTTCTTTCCAGGATGACGTCACAGCCAAACAGGAACAGACGAGGCAAAGCTACTCTGAGGAAAAGCAGAGAGAGCAGAACGTTAGAGATTGAACTTACAGATTCTGCAGAATAGGAGAACAGAGAGAGAATGAAGCAGAATGATGAAATGGGGGTCCCTATGTCCTCCAGAAGTCTAAGCCTATAGCAGCATAACTATAGAGATAGCTCAGGATAACCTGAGCCACTCTAACTATAAGCGTTATCAAAAAGGAAAGTTTTAAGTCTAGCCTTAAAAGAAGACAGGGTGTCTGCCTCACGGACTAAAACTGGTAGTTGGTTCCACAGGAGAGGAGCCTGATAACTAAAAAATCTGCCTCCCATTCTACATTTAGAAATTCTAGGAACCACTAGTAAACCTGCAGATTGAGAGCGAAGTACTCTGTTAGGAACATAAGGAACAATCAGATCTCTGATATAAGATGGAGCTTGGCCATTTAAGGCTTTATATGTGAGAAGGAGGATTTTAAATTCTATTCTGGATTTAACAGGAAGCCAATGAAGAGAAGCCAGGATAGGAGAGATATGATCTCTCTTTTTAATTTTCAACAGAACTCTGGCTGCAGCATTTTGGATCAGCTGAAGGCTTTTAACTACAGTTTGTGGACTTCCTGATAGTAAAGAATTACAATAGTCCAGCCTTGAAGTAACAAATGCATGGACTAGTTTCTCAGCATCACCCCTGGACAGGATACTTCTAATTTTTGCAATGTTCCTCAGATGAAAGAAGGAAATTCTAGAAACCTCTTTGATATGGGATTTAAATGACAGGTCCTGATCAAAAATAACACCAAGATTTTTTACTTTATTATCTGAAATCAGTTTAATCCCATCCAAATGAAGTGACTGGCTAATCAGCTTCTTTTTCAGAGACTCTGGTCCAAAGACTATAACTTGTGTTTTGTCTGCGTTCAGAAGGTGAAAGTTAAGAGTCATCCAGGTTTTTATGTCTTCAGACATGCCTGTAATCTATGTAATGGGTTAGCTTCATCTGGATTTATAGACAGATATAGCTGGGTATCATCAGCATAACAGTGGAAATTAATCCCATGCTGTCTAATAACTCTACCAATTGGGAGCATGTATAAAGTAAAGAGAATTGGTCCTAGCACTGATCCCTGTGGTACTCCACAGGTAACCTTTGAGCATGTTGAAGATCTATCATTAACATGAAACAAACTGAATTCGATCAGATAGATAAGATTTAAACCAGCCTAGTGCTGTTCCTTTAATTCCAACAAAATATTCAAGTCTTTCTAAAAGAATATTATGGTCAACTGTATCAAATGCAGCACTAAGATCCAACAGGACGAGCACAGATACAAGTCCATTATCTGAGGCCATGAGAATATCATTAGTGACTTTCACCAGAGCTGTTGATGAGCTCTAAAGCCAGACTGAAACTCTTCAAAAAGTTCATTATGGTGTAAGTGATCGCAAACTTGTTTGGCAACTACTTTCTCAATTAACCAAGTCATCTGGGGTCAAGAGACGGTTTGTTAAGCAGAGGTTTAAATACAGCAACCTTGAAAGCTTTAGGTACATATCCCTGTAACAGAGATAGATTAATCACATCTAAAATGGAGGAGGAGATCAAAGGGAATACCTCCTTAAATAACCTGGTTGGAACTGGATCTAACATACAAGTTGAAGGCTTAGATGAAGACAATAATTTTGCTAATTCAGAAAGTTCAACTGGATCAAAGCAGTCTAAAGTGATACTGATAAGTCATTTTTTAGGAGAGTTTGTCCAAGTTTTGGATTGTAATGACATTTTTATCAGATGTCCATTACATTTTGGTGATGATCCTACGTGGGAGTATTAGGGCCAGGTTAGAGATTTTTTTTTAAATTTTGAGAATGACACAGATAAGTTTTCAAGTTATTTTATTGTGATGTTGATTTGTCCATTTATTTTTCCCTCTGAATTGAATCAGGGGTGTCATTGTTTCCTGAACAGCTGATTTGCTTCTAGCTGGAGCGTTTTCTAGGAATTCAGATCAATCCTGAAAGCTAACCTGCCCTGGAGCACGTTTGCCATTCAGAGTACGTTACCATGGTGACTAGCTCAATAAGAATGAATCCAGGCTCATGTTTAAACCTGTCCGGGTTAAACCTGACGTTGTCTCGCTGACCCAGTAAACCTGCTTCGTAGTACAGGCCTCTGTGCCATCACCGGTCCGCTGCTTGTCAGCTGGTGTTGATGCAATCCTTCTGTTGTTTTGTTTGTTTTTCTCAAATGTTTCTCTGTGAATCACGGCGAAACTATTCTGTCACGATATGGTCGCCTTGAAACCGGATAGAGTAGGATCGCTTTATTTACACAGAAATTCAAAGCAAAACTCTATAAGTTGATTTAAAACAACAACTATTGCAGCTGCTGCAAAAAACTTTATTACATATCAATAATTCTAGCTTTATTGCATATCTGAACTCTGCAGACGTGGGGTTCCTCAAGGTTCACTTGTTGGTCCAATTATTTTAGCTGGTTGTTATCTGGTCAGCAGTACATACTAATGCTGTATTCTATCTCCTTTTTTGTCTATATGTATCTATAAGAGGGGTCTGCAGCCTGTGGCTTAAAATTAGATTAAAATGATCCTGATTAGTTTTTAATCTAAAAATAAATTGGATATAATGTACACAACAGAGTGGCACTAATGAATATAATATATAGATTTTTCTCTCTCTCTCGATAAGAAATTCATGAAAGCACTCAGTGTGAAACAAACCTATTTTTCGGCTTAAAACACAAACTTTGAACATTAATGCTGATACAGGCACTTGCAGCTTATTAACGTTTTAATGCAACTCTCCTACTTTCCAATAACCTTTCAATTCTTATCTTTTGACCCTTTTTAACTGAATTTAAAAACTACTTCTTTCAAATGAATTTACAGAAGCTAAAATATCATCCATGGACTCATTTAGTTGTTCAAAAGCCAAAATTAAACTTACTTCCCACATAGGAATATATTTTTGTATTTGTATTCATGTAAATCTTGTGCTTCTACACCTCGTTGAATGATTGGAGGAGGGGGAACTGATCCATACCCCATTTGTTAGGGGTATGCAAGTGACCAAAAAGGGTAATTTACTCCATAAAGTGTTAATATTTAAATTGGCATCAAAAAGAAATAACATTTCCATTTATAATGTAGTATAAAATATGATATTAATAAAAATAGAGATGACTGGCTCTGGCTCATTTATCTGATCCAGCTAAATGGCAAAGATGACTCTGATATATATCTCTCTGTGTTTGTCAATGACACATTGAAGGTGAAATAAAGGTAATAAATGAAAGTCTGAGTAAAGGTTCCTCTGCTAACAATGATCTGTTTCTGTCTCCAGCATGAAGACTTCCTCCTGGCGCTGCAGGTCAACGAAGATGAATATAAGCAGGTATGGAAACATTATTCAGCAAGAGGGCTTAAAATGCTACAAACCAGAGCCAAACGGATTGCTGGAGTTATTCAGCTTTGTGTATCACAAAGTTACTGCTGCACCTGGTGTGTGTTTGTGGTTCAGGACTTCCTTGTGTTTCATGTTCTGCTACTTTGAAACAGCAGAGTGAGGGGAAAAACAGAAAACCTCAGGGTCACTCAGGTTTTTTAACTTTAACTCTTCTCTAATTCCCTAAACAAAGAAAATAACCCCAGTCTGTTATTTAGTTCTGTCTGTTTTCCTCCCTTATTAAAGCAGACCAGTTTCTGATTCTGTAAATGGAGCCAGTTTCTGTTCCATTCTTTAGGCATCTGAAAGGCTCTTTTGAGCACATCTCAGGATAAGTGAGCGACGTGAAGAAGTGGAGACAGGATTCTTGTCTGAACCATAGCTGTTAATTCTCCCCATAGCAACCGTGTCGTTAGAGATGAGGGTTATCTCAGCATTGCTTTGACATTTGGGCTGATCGGATGCTCTATTATCAGCCCCCTGCATGACCCACACTGTTCTGTCACATAGATAGGTTTCAGATAATCAAACATATTGAGCTACCTGATAAAGATAAGCTTATTAGATAAGAAAAGCAGTTTTCAGAGGGATGATTTAATTCAATAAAGGGAAAAGCTTCCCAGGCTCTTTAAAACAATAATTCCTCTCTTTGCTAAATCAGGATTTAACTGTTGCTCAATTCCAGTAAGAATTTACACCTGAGCCACAGAGTTATCCAAAATAATTGTTAAATAACCTCTCTGATAGCTGACTTATCTCATGGAATAATGCATCACATAGATAAAATAAAAAAGTCTCCATCAGAGTGGAAAGGGTTACAGAGCCAAAATGACATTTCTTGCATCCCCTCGATCTGACTGCGCTCCAACCTTTTCAACTCCTAACAAAACAAAACCCAAAACAGTCTACTTTAAATAAATACTACTACCATCTTTAGAGCATCATAAGAAGCATCTAAACTATAAAGTTAAGGTGCTTATTCTACTATGTAACAGACTGCAACATTGCTATCAATATATAAGTAAACTAGAAAAGCACTCGGAGAGCGCAGACCTCCAAGCGCCACATTTTGCCTCATATTGTGACTTAGACCTATAACTAAAACTCACACATGATCTGCATCGTTACCAAAAATTAATGAATTCATTGGCATGAGGCAAACCTCTGCTAAAGATTTCCTTAAAATTCTTTCATAAGCTGGTGCAGATTCTCTTACATCCAGATCAAAGTCATTCCAAAAAAAGTTAAAAACAATCCACTGTAGTTTGTTTCCAAGTTTGAAGATGTTTCTCTTCCCATCCAGAAAGCTTTTTCAATTCAAAATGTCAGAAATGGCGTTGAATTTGAGGCTTTATACTGTAGCCCATCAAAACCTTGTTTTTGTTCTTAAAACATGTAAATTGACACTGACGAATGGGTCCACCCCTTTAGAAGTACCAAAGGTGCACCTCAGTCCAAGCATAAGTGACTGCAGCCTCTGGTGTTTGTTCTGCTCTCACCTTCTTTCTTCACTCTTTCTTGTTTGATCAGCAGATCCAGCGAGGCATAGTTCACCTTTCCTGTATTTTTGTCATCAGTAAATTACTTTTGGATCCAATGCTGAAGCCGTCACTGTCTGGTTTAAGGTGGAACTCCTTGTTCCGCTAAATAATGGTAGAAAACCTTTTAAAAAAAAAAATCCTGCATCTCGATTGATTGTTGCTTGGACTGAGGTGCACCTTTGGTATATTTCATTTAAATCTGTTCATAACTTTTCGAGGTGTCCTGTACACAGACTGACAGACACAAACTGGACTAAAAGCATAACCTCCTTGGCTAATGAGTCAACCAATACATATCACCACATATATCAGCCAATATGTGAACAAAAAACGAAGCTTCGCTAACCGATCTATCACTATAGCTGAGAGTCAAACCTGGAGGCGATGTGAGGTTGATCTCTTCTAGAACATCCTGAGGTATGTCCGTCCATTAGTACCGGGGCTTAAAGCCCAGTCACACTTCACCGCCACCTCTGACTAAACAATAACGGAGTTGATATTCTGGAGTTATCAGTTCCACAGCCTCACTCTACTAGCATCTGCAAAATGGGTCTAAAGGGGGCGGAGCAGGAGCGTTTAGTGGATAAGGGCTAGAAAAACTAACCTGATGCTAAGCTAGCCAGTCGCTAACCTTAAATGCTCTAAGCTTTTATAGCCCAGAGCTGCAGAGCTCCTGCCGTCACAAAACTTCAGAGCCAACACCATTACGCATCACAATTCAAATGCAGTACACTCGTTAAACATGAAGAGGGCGCCAAAAAGATGTACATTCTCAAAACCACACCTAGGAAATATAGATGCCAATATAAAACATCTGTGTATTTAGCTTTAGCTTGTAAGCAAAGCTAGTTCTTAGGTTACAGGCGCAGTTATAAATGCAGATGTGTCCAAATTCTGACTCGAAATAAATGTGCTTGATCTGAAACATTTTAAGGGTGAAAGGAAGCAGAAGAGATCTGTGAAGGTGTGAATACTTTTTGACACAGCAAGCGTACAGAGCAGGATGAGGTGACGGAGTGTGGGTGGATGGGTAAGTCAGAAGCAGATCAGAAACCCGGTTCAGTGCAACCGTGTAGGTGGAGATGATGAACCGTTTAAAACCAGTTTGGTTTAAGACCTTTTTTCAGCCTCATTACCGCCCACCTTCAAAATGATAAAGACACATCAAGGCCTGTCTTGGATTTATGTAAAGGTCAACAGAAAAGGAAACGGTTTGCTCCGTTTGTTTGATGTAAAATGAAGGAAAATCAAAACTGTGGGTTCGTGGAAGAATGATTGATTTTCTAAGTGGCGACGTGCTGCTTAGGTTTGGTTTTTGGAGCGCCTCCTTGTATCCATAAATGAATGCTTTCTTTTTTCCATGAATTCTCTTTTCTGTCCCACTGAGCTTTTAAAACCTCAGTTGGCTGCAAGGTTAAACGTCTTCTCTCCGCAGGACGGTCAGCTGATCGAGTGCGGCTGCTGCTTTGGGGAGTTTGCCTTCGAGAAGATGACGCAGTGCTCAGATGGACACCTGTTCTGCAAAGAGTGCCTGGTTAAATATGCTCAGGAGGCAGTATTCGGCTCTGGAAAGGTACAATCCAAAGGTTTCTCACATGCTCCGATCTTTCAGTCCGATTTCTGTGTAATTTATTAGGGGTTTTGTGTATCAGAACGAAACAAAAAGGTTCAAAATTAAATGAAAATAAATAAATAAATACATTTTTGTTGTCGCTACTGGTGATGGAGCAAACATGGCTTCCTTTTAAAGGAATGTGTTCTGCTGTGAGGGGACCAAATCCACTGAAACATGGTGGTGGCGGAATCATGATGTTAGGATTTCTTTAAATAGGATCTAAATATAGAGCAACACGGGATTTTCAGATTTTTTGGGGGGAAAAAACATGAAAAACAACCTTTTCTTTATTATTTCCCTTCATTTTTTTCCCAAGTTAAAGGAGTGTGAATACTTTCAAAAGCCACTACTGCCTGCCCTATTAAAGGATAATGCATCATATTTTTAGTCAAATTAAAGTTGGAGAGTTGGAGATAAAAACAGCTTTATTTGGATGGATGTGATGTTTGTGAGCCGGATCTTGGAGGCTTCGTCCAACGTGAGTAATCTCCATATCAGTTAGAGCCTGTATTTATGTTGCAGTCGGAGCTGAGCTGCATGGCGGACGGCTGCCCCTGCTCGTACCCGGTGTGTGAGCTGCAGAAGGTCCTCCCCGACAACATTCTGTGTAAATACAACGAAAGGCAAGCTGAGGAGGCGGTGGCAGCCACCTGCGCTGATGAATTAGTCCGGTGAGGGGGTGTGCTGATTACCGGTATCGCAGGAAGCAAATGCAACAGATGTTTCTTTTCACTCCCTAACCGGCTTTTCTGACTTTTCGCAGGTGTCCATTTTGTAACTTCCCAGCCTTGTTGGACAAAGACATGTCTCTGTTCAGCTGTCCCAACCCTCGCTGCCGCAAGGTCAGTCCCACTCCTCCATCCTCACCTCAGATTCCCCTGTGATGTTGGTATTTTACACAAAGAGCCTCCATCTAATCAAAGTGAAGGTGATTGATGAGCCGCTTGGTGGAGGAGCTAACTGGCTCCTCCTGGGGAGGTCGCCACCTCTCCCTTTTCCTATCCCGTTATCTCTGCGTCTCCTCCTTCTGTCTGAGGAATGCTGGGGGGGCTATCACGGGAATTCCAATCTAAAGTGTCCAATGTTGGGTTGAAAGACTCAAACACACAAAAATGCAGCCTGGTCTGGTTCTTGCAACATAATAACAGCCCAGATGTTGTTCCGTCGGTGAGACCTTGGCTCTCTGCTTGTGGGAAGATCAAACAGATGATAGTAGAAACAAAACACACAGACTTAATGTTTGTCTCGGTTACACAGAAATGTTAGTCAGCTACGTCTCTGCTTTGTGTTAAACGGTCAGTTTGCTGAAGAGGAAAGTTATTTTTCCAAATAAAAAATGAAATGAAATGCTGGTTTCTGTTGGAAGGTGTTTATAAACTTTAGACCTTATCCTGTGTTTGAATCCGCATCATTTCACTTTGGAAAAACTGACAAACTAAGAAATACTTGTTAGTATTTTCTCCATTGATTAATTGGATTGAATTTCCTAAAAAAATTGACTAAATATAAAAGAAGTTGGAAAAATGTTTTCCAAAACTTTAAGCAACACATTAAAAATTCCTTTTTTTTCCTCTCTTTTTTTTTTCCTTCATTTTAAAACCTAAAAAATGAAATGGCACTATTTTTTTTATTTTAAAGGACCAATCTTTGGTTACTATTTATTAAATATGAGCTATCTTTCTCTCTCTTTAAAAAAACTTAAATGGAATGTTTGTTGCTCTAAATGAGTTTATTAACTGGAGGGAATTTAAAAATGGCTCTTTAGATTCTAAAGGTTTCAGACCCTTGATATAGCCCATTATGAGGAGTTGGAAGAAGAAAGCACGGTTAAAAAATATGTTAGACTTAGACTAACTTTACCTGGAGAGGTTTAGTGCTCGGTTGGGTTGTTCTCTCACCGTCCTGTCATCCCCAAACCCTCCTTACTCCCTAATTAAGCTGTCTCCTTAACAAACCACGGTAGTGGCAGCATCATGCCTGTGGGGTCTTTAGCCCAGACAGGGGTGAACAGAAGATGAATGGAGCTTATTTAGAAGCTGCACATCCCCCCAGAGCCGCATCAGAGTGGAAAAGATCAATTTGTTGATATATCCTGATTTTCAGCTGCCCAATAAAATATCAATCTTTAAGTTTCGATTTTCGAAATAAAGATGTTTTAAACCTAAAACGATGTGGATCACTTTTGCTGTGCAGCACAGCAGCATTTCTGTAGTAGAGGCAGTCACAGTGGAAGACATGGACTGATTCAAACCCCAAACAACATGGATTCTGATGAACATATACAGCGCTTGCTTATATCTATAAACTTCATGTTGATAGCTGGGAAAAAAATTGCAATATATATTGATATTGCAATATTGTGATTATATCGTATTGTGACCCAAGTATCGTGCCACGTATCATATCACAACACCTATGCCAATACTCGCCCATAGGCGTGGTTGACTTTAAAACATGTTAGGATCTAAAACCAGAGGAGGATCTGCATCAGAGCTGAGAAAATTCCCAGTTTATGGACGAACAGTGTGACTCCAGCTAAAAAGGAATGAGAATAAATTGTAGATGTGTGAAGCGAGCAGAGACGGATCGCAGCAGAACCGGTTCTACAAGGTACCACCACCCCAGTGCCACGAGCTGGGCTTCCATTTATTTGGAAATAGGAAAATAAATTTGCTAAATTTAAAGTGGATCTACAGCTTGAAGAAGACCGGAAGTAGTTGAATTATAGTGGCACTGCATATTTTTATTTTTTTATATTTCCTTTGAATATGGATATAGATCATGTGTTTACATCTTCCAGAATTATTGCGTAAACAAACGTATTCATGTGCAATTTTAATGTTATCATTTATTAAATAGAACTAACACAATTGTGGGAAAACTGCACTTTTGAAATTAGCAGAATATCAGCTTAGTTATGCTCTCATCTGTAATGGAAACGCAGATACTGGTTGTTTCCATGGAAACTTTCCAGGCAAACTTTGGGGGGGAAATCTAAAGCTTCAGTCAGTTTCCTTTCTTCTATTTTCTGCTTTTGCAGGATTCTGACCAATGGATGAAGCTGCTTGTTTCTGAGATACTTAGCAGACGGAGTCTTGTGTCAGTGCCTGTATTCAACCTCTAGGTGGCGCCAGAGGCTCATTGATCAACCTTCGCTGTTGTTCTGTTGCACTGCTGCTCAAATCATGACCCAGAACTGATAAGTTTCTGGTTTCTTTGGGCCGGGCGTGTTTGTTTCACAGCAGCAGGACTTTTTTCACCCCGTGTTTTTTATTTCCTCTTCTATCTGGCAGCAGTCTGTAAGCTGCTAACCTCTGCTTCTTTATTATGTGTAGAAACTCTGTGTTGTTTTTTCCTCACACACCTGGAAACGGTTAAACAGATGCAGGGACCAGTTCCAGACAGCCGTTAGTCTGTTGCCTCCCAGCCCGCAGGGTCTACCTCTAGGGAGGGGCTCCATTATGTAACCAACACACTCCCCCCTAAGCCCGCCTGCTCCATCCATCCAGCCTCCCCCATTGGTCGGCTGAGCGGTCCACCTCCCTGCTGCCGGGTTCCTACTGGTTGGAGGAAAACAGCTCAGTTAATTTCAAATGTTTGTGCTCTGTAGTGACCCAGATCCTCTGGCCTGTGCCCCCCCCTCCGGCCCACAACCAGAACATGGGATGTTAACGTGATCCACATGCATCGGGCCCATATCTGCTAACAGAACAGAACTTAAGATGGGGAGGGTTTTTACCTTCACCTGTTAACATGGTGCAGCCTCACACTGCAGCCTGTTTGACTGGCATGTAGTGATGTTTAAGCTTTAATTAGTGCAGAATTGTAAACCATGGATGGCTGAAAGGAGACCAGAACCATAGAACATGACTTCCTGCAGCTTTTTTATCTCCACTTCGCCATAAAAGGCAGCAGAGAGGGGTGTGAACACTTTTGCGACACATATTAAGGGTCTGGTGTTTCATTCAAAGTTGGGGCGCCGTACAGCACCGTTAAACGACCCCTCCTCCTGATCGTCAGCTCTGCAAACAGCCTTATAAGGGCTGCTGCAGCAGTAAAGAGCATGAATAGGAGGAGAGGAAAGATAAGAATGAAAGTGGCTCTGGGTGGGGGGGCAGAGAGTGCAGAGCGGGCGGGTCTGCAGAGGCCGGGCTTTTTTAAAGTCAACGTTTCCTCTGCGTTCATAAGGAAGTGTGGCCTGTCCGACCTCTGACACACCTTAGAGCTGCGTCAGGTGAAGCATGGCGAGGCGGGCTAAGCCACGCCCCTTTTTAAGGTCGGGCTCTGACGTCCTCCGTCTGTATTTTTAGCTGCTCTATAAGAACTCAGGTGTCTTCCTGTCGCTCAGTCACAGACTGGCTTTGACTCAGCCTCCTGGGTCCTTCCCCTCTCTCTCTCTCTGTCACCCCTAGGGGGCGATCTTTCTCTACTCTATCTCTTCTCACCTCCTGTAGCTTTCCCCTCTCTCTTTGTTTCATCTTGGGTTTTCTTTTCTTTATTTTCCTATCCTCTCCTCTTCCTGTTTTCTTCCTCATCTCGTCCTTTAGAGCTTTGCCATCTCTCCCGCTCCAGATGCCAACAATAACTATTCCGATCCAGTCCTCCAGCCTTTGGCTGAACTTGCAGCTTCTCTCAGAACCGCTGTGAAGGCAAATAAGAAGCAGCTTTATGCAAACTCTGCAACCATGCAGGCTCAAACAGTGCTTGAAGGCTGTGGAGGGTGATGAAGGTGTGACTGTCTCCCCATGCAGAGGTCAGAGGAGATCTTGCTTCACGCCGTCGTGCATCGGCTGTCATGTGTTGCTCTCTTCAATATTCCATGAGCGCCTCAAATATTTATGGCGACAAGACTTTAGGTAAAGGTTAGCGAGGGGAGAGAAAGGCGGCGGATCGGAGCTGAGGTTCAGCCACCTCAGCCGCAGCTATTTGGGTTCTACGCTCTATGAGGCAAAGCAGAGCTGGAGGACAGAGTTCATTCCTGTTTCTAGGCAACCAAGCAGCCGCAGACAGACATTTTGCGGCAAAAAGCCGCACCTAGATGTCTGCGCCGGTGAAAATGGGGAGTCCCTGCAGTGGACACAGCAGCAGCATACAGAGCAGACGCTGAGGGGTAAATGGAGGGCTTTTTTAGAGGGAGGTGTCCGAGAAGATGGATTCCTCTTTAACTTCACTAGCAGAAACTGATTTTCAACTGTATTCTATTGGAATACAGAAAGTAGTGAATAATAATGTGGAAGGAGAACATCAATCCCTTCTACTCTGATGCCTCCAAATAATGCACTTAAACCCATTTAAAGGAGACATAAAATATTTGAGGGAGGTACTCTTGTCAGATGACATCAGGATCTACCTTTTTAGCCTGAATCCAAAAATGTAGTAGGGGCAGAAGAAGATGAAGGTCTGCAAAAGAACCTGAGATTATATGGAGGATTAATGTTGGATTGACTGAAAGTAAAATTGTAAAGATTTGTCGATTTATTGAACATCTATTGAACTGACATTTGTTTCTCCATTTACTGGATAAAAATGACAATGATGATAAATATTAGTGGACAAGTTTCAATTCAAACAAAAAAAAAAAAAAACATTTATTAACAAATCAACCAAAACATGAACAGTGGAATCGAAGATGGAGGAAGCAGAAATGCATTCAGTTAATCTCCAAGTATGGCTGCTGGATGCATTAATGAATCAGTGGACATGCGCAGGCGTCGGCCCATATAAGACAGAAAGCCTAATGTATGCAGGCTGATGTTTTCCTCTATCAGAGACGCATACAGTCAGATTACACCTTCTGACGCTCACTTTGTTGTTTGTTTTGTTCTGATTTTCTTTAGGAGAGCTGCAGGAAGTGTCATGTCCAGTGGAAGCAGCATGTAGGAAAGACCTGTGAGCAGGTCCTGGAGAGAGACGAGATCCGGATGAGGGTGCTGTTGTAAGTGGAACCCCCCACCCCCCGCACACATCTGGTTTTACTATTAGAGAAGCTATAGACTAATGTAAATATGGGGATTCAATGAAAAGCTTAATCTAATCTCCTATAAACTCCGACTTCCTTCAGCCAGAGATTTATTCTGATTCTTTGTCCACATTTGGATGTAGAACCTGATTATGTTCTCCTGTCCCTCTCAGTAAAGGATGCTGAGTAAACATCTCAGTTTCCCCGGATGACGCTCTGGGAAGCAGCTGGCCCATCGGGCCGGCTGCTTCCTTTCAGCCCGACAGGCTCTAAAGCAGCACTTCCTGTTTTCAGAGCAGCTTACTTCCTGCTGCTGAAAGCTGCAGGAAGAGGTCTGGTGGAAGGATCAGTAGTCCTTTAGTTAGAACAGAGGAATCACTAAAACATTCAGAGCAGTTCGCTGTTTCCCACTGGCTGGGTTGGAAATCACTGCTGGTAATGCTAATGCTAATGCTAATGCTTGAATAAGTAGAAAATAAAAAATGAATGCCCGTAAAAGTAAATAGTGGAACAATTCTGTCAGATCTGCAGCCATTTCATCCACATTCAGCTCCAGATTGTTTCTGAATCCTCTTCCCTCTGTGTTGCAGCGAGGAGCGGATGACCGCGGCCCGGGTCAGGAAGTGTGTGAAGTGCGGGACGGGCCTGGTGAAGTCCGAGGGCTGCAACCGGATGTCGTGCCGCTGCGGCAGCTTCATGTGCTACCTGTGCCGAGAGCCCATCACGGGCTACAACCACTTCTGCCAGCACGCCCGCTCCCCCGGCGCCCCCTGCAGACACTGCCGCAAGTGCTCGCTCTGGACCGACCCCACGGTGCGTCTGAAAACAGAGCTAACTGCTGACTCCTTGTTACCCACAGCGGCTTGGCTGCAGCCTCTCTGGCAGCCAGAGGCGTCATTTAGCTCCCAGCTGGGGAGGGAGCTGGAGAAGCTCCAGTAAACCTTGGAGCTGGCGAAGAGCTCAGCCAAAGGAAGGGATTAACAGTCAGACCAGTGCAGAGATGCTCCTACCTGCACTGAACACATCCACCCATCTACTCACCTTCCCACAAAACTGTGGGGAAATTCAGTATTTTCCATTTCAAAAGTACAGAAAACCCTGAAAACAGAGATTTTGTTCATGCTGTATTGGCATGACAACCAGCTCTTGTTTTTGAGGGGGACAGTTTAGATGTCTGTCAAATTTCTAATGGAAAACTAATGCTTCTACCCTAGAGGTAGAAGCATTGTGTTTTTTGGTTGGGGTGTTCCGATGACACTCAGCTCAGTATAAACCTGTTTTTGTTTTGTTTTTTGGGTGTTTCTGCAGCAAGACGATGAGAGAATCATTCAGGAGATCCAGAAGGAAGGTGAAGCTGAGCTGAGTAAGAAGTGCGCAGGTCAGTAAGCTAACGATGTTGTCATTGTTTCTCCCAACTTTCTCTCTCTGCGCTTCATTTTCATTTCCTGCCAGAAGAAAAATCCGATTCTCAGAACATTCTAAGCTGACATGCAGAGATTCATCTGAAGACATTTGACTAATTTAGTAATTATAACGCAAAAGTGAAAGTCCTGGAGATTCATGACACTAAACAAAAAGCCAGTTCTGAAGAAGCTGGCAGCTTAAAATGCTGCATTCGGCTTATTTCATTTTAGACTTATGAGAATACCAACAGAAGGAGCAAAACGCAACGGCCGGATTAGGGCTAAATATCTCACATCTCTCTAATCATCCCTTCCTTCTTTGTAGTTTGATTAAAAAAAAGAAGAAAAAAAAAGAGAGAGATGTCTGTTTTTTTTAAACCTTATTTCCTTTTATTTTCTTCTTCTGTCAGATAATTCAGGGAAGAGGGTCGGCCCGCCCCCGGAGGTCATCCCTGACACTAAACGTCCCAGAGTGGGTCCACCCCCGGAGAACCCAGCCCAGCCCAATGCCCCGGCCCCAGCTCCTCAACCCCCACAAGCGGTACAAGCCCCCCTGTTCGTCCCTCCGCGCGCCCGCTACCACCCGCCGCCGCCTCCACAGGCTCTGATCTACCGCCCCGTCATCCTACCTCGACTGCCCCCGGCGCCTTACGTGCCGCCGCTGCAACACCTACCCCCCCTGAACAATAACAACAACAACAACCAGCACAACCACAACCCCCCCTTCAACCCCCACCACAACATGGACCTGCCCATGCATTACGGACCCCCACCACACTACTACAGACGCTACTAACACTGTGTGGTGAGTTTGACGCCCCCCCTCTTCTTTTTCCAGATGCAAACACTACGTCAAAGCTTTCATTTCTGATCAACAAACCTTTTCTTCATCATATCATCAAATCATTTATGACATTAAGACTCTTATTTGCTCTCTGCTGATTAAAGAACTGAAATATTCAAGAGGACTTTCCCCCTTTTTTTCCCTCCATTTTTTTTTCTCTTTACAGACCCAAAATAAACGAAGGACAGCTGAGAATGGAGGAATTTTGTCTGGTTTCTACAGATATTTTTCAGTAATAAAAATGTACAAAAGTAAAAAAAACAGAGAAAACCTTGATGCTAGCATTTCTTTCTGTATTTTTGTCTAACAGCTGTGAGTTTTCTAATAAAGTTTTGTTCATGTTGCCTCTATATTTCCTCCTGCCAGCCTGTGCCTCCACCCTCTCCTGCTGAAAAACAAACGGGCTGACTCACGTTAGCCGAGCCCAGAGGCTGAGAACCAATCGGGTGCAGGAGAGGGGGTTTCTCTGCGCCAATCGTAGCGTCCGCCAGGCTTTGTGATGTTTTTCAGAGAGGTTTTCATCCTTTGTTCAACCAAGTGTGCTGAGTGTGACAAATCACTTGGCCACACGCCGTCTCCTGTTTCAGGACTGAGAAGCTCCACTACAGCCCTGGGCTCCAAATGCTGTTAGTCATGGATTGCATGAGGAGGAGGATTTTTTTGTTGTTTTATTTATGCGTGAGCCAGGATTAGATTTTAATGAGATCGTTGGTCTTTAAACAACAGCCAAGCCTGAATGACTTGAGTAATCTTAGTTGTATTTAAAGCAGATGCCAAAGGGGGTTTCAGAAGGCAAACTAAAAGATAGCTGCCTTTAAAGATATGCTCTCCAACCTTAAAGTCATACAGTGACCCCTGACCTCTGACCTTGTGAACATCCAAACAGAAGGTCCAGCATCATGTGCCTCCATCTGAGTCAGCAAACAGTAGTAATTTCTTCTAATCGGCTAAATCCATCTTCCCTGACCCTTCTAAAGAGAGCCCTCTCCATAGCATGATGCTGCCACTCCTATGTCTTCCTGTGGGTTCGCTTTCTCAGATCAGAAAAGTAGGGGGTTGTTTCTTGTTTTGTTTTTTTTGTTTGTTTTTTCCAGTATCCACCTTAGTTGTGGATTTCAGTAGCTCCTCCAGAGTTGCTTCTCTGATTCATGTCTGCTGTGTCTTTCACCCACTCATTTACACAAAGATCGGTCTTGCTCACTACTGTGGAATTGAAATACGGTGTGTCCATTGGAGTGAAGTCGAATGCATTTTTCTCAACAATAATGTCCTGCTTTCTGCTGACCTATTGCACATAAATACATTTTAGAGTTTTTGCTGACAACAGAATGAGGTGTACAAAAGTTTGAGATTTCGGCAGAATGCTGTTAAACTACAACCTTTTTAAGGCCCTAAGGATCCTGCAGGGTCTCCAAAATGAGGCTTGTGGATTACAGCTGATGGGGATTAAGGAGAATTATAACATAATGACTTTTAAGGACTTTGTTAATTTATGCAACAAAGTGTCTGTGGAGCTGATGCGATTAGGCAAAAATAGAGTATTGGACCAAAGCTCCATGTCAGTCATACACAGAGGATGGAGAGGGATTATAACTAAACCATTTATCACCATGATGATAGCAAAAAAAAGGACTAATATCCATCTGAAAGGAAAGTGCCTTAGATTTATGCCGCAAACAGATTTAATATTTTACTTTTTAAGATTTTTATTGGAGATGGGTAAGGTAAAGATACGTTTTTTAGAATGTTATTGTAAACACTTTATTGCTGTTTCATTATTTTTTATGAGATTGAGCATTAAACCACTTCTAACTGATTCCAACTGTTATGACTTGGTGGTGGTCCTTTCCCAGAGTCAGCCAAACCCTATTATTATTGGGGTCCTGTCCAGGATAAAGCCTTTTACAGGAACATCTGGCCGAAATGTAACACGTCAGAATTTTAACAATAAGGAAGCTGATCCTAGTTTAGCAGACTGGTTACCGGTAATATATATTAGGGGGTTACACATTCAGTTTAATTAATTGATCTAGAACAAGATTACAAATTTATATCAAGGAGAACAAATGAACAGTAATTATACAGATTTGACACAGGTGCAATTTGAATTTAATTGATTTAAATACAGTAAAATCTAAAATTCTGTAACAAATCCAGCCTCTTGGAATTTTTGTTTCATCCTGTTCCATCAAAATAACAAATGGATGCTATTAGATCCACGCTATTTTATATATTATTGGAATGCCTCCAGTCACTCCAGACAGCATGTGGTGACAGTGGAGAGGAAGCACTCACTATTAACAAGAAGAAATTCCAGTTTTAATGATACCAATAAACCAGGAAAATGGCTGGTTTTATCTTTTTTTTTTTTACTGTGTTGACCAACGTCTTATCATTGCAATTTAGTAGTACCCACATTAAAAGATTAAATCAGAAAAATAATCAGATAATTAAAAAAAAACTGTTTTGGTACAATTCTTTTTAAATCGAATTGTACAAGTAATTCATAAACTTTTTCAAAACCAGATAATTTATGTTTAGAATTATGTGTTTTATCATTTTAGCGCTTGTATAAATTCTCAGTCATCCAGATCATGGCGACCACAATACAGGTTTAAATTGAACCCAGAGTTTGGTTGCCTTCCAATTTAAGCCATTTTCTTGGTTATTACTTTAGTATTTCTTTGCCTGCTAAAAATGAGCATTAAAAATCATAAAAAAAACAACTACATTATTGAATATGTTGGTCTCATAAAGCTCCCTGCATTGATGGATACAAAAACAGTTAGATGGAGAAACAGTATCCATCACCTTGATGAACAACTTCACTCTTAACAACAATGATATCATTTTAGAGTTTAGTAATAGATACATCTCTCCTGCTTGGTCCAAACACTGCTGTTTGCCTCTAGATTCTGAACTTCGAATAGAGGAAATAGTTAAAATTGGACAGATATGTTCACCTTTATCATGCTGAGCACTGGGGTTCCTCTGGGCTGTGTGCTTAGTCCATTAATGTTCTCACTCAAAAATTAAGAAACCTGATTTCAACAGATGGAGTCAGGAAAGAGAGAGCATGATGTTGATCAAACAAGGCAGTAAAGAGTGTAGATAGCATCAATTTTCTCATCTGGTCGGAGAACACCACTGGGGTCCTGAAAGTGCTAAAACAAATATTCCTACCAGCATGCTGCTCCAGACAAGAGTGCCGTGCATATGGTGAAAAAAGAGGCATGTTTCTGAAGTCTCTACACTTTTGCTGTATTTGCTTCAAGAACAAAGTCCTGAATGTGGTTAGAGCTCTCCTTTAAACTTTCAGCCCTGCATTTAATATGCATTATTTATCTGTTAAAAGCTAAATCTGTGCCTTGAGTCATGGATATCTCTATATAGATTATGTTCAGCAGAATGCTGTATCTGTATCCCCCTTATTCATACTGAAAAAGTGTTAGTTGACCTTTCACCAGCTTTTGTTCTGGAAAAAAACATGAACCAGACTTGACCCACATATCTTCTGAAACACCTGAGATGGACATAGAAGCTCACAGCTCAGTGGCTTCCTGTTATTCAGAATCCACACACATGAGAGCAGTTTTAGCTGTGATGTGTGTTGAAAAGCAAACAAGGTGTGGGGTTATTACCTCTTATGTAAATCCTTATATCCTGAAGTTTATATTTTTATTGCCCGGTTTAAAATTTTGTACAAATATAGACTTTGAAATGCCAGCGATTGTCCTCCCGAGGATAGATGTGAAGGCCTGCAGCCACCTCCTCCTCAGGGACGGCTGGTGGCTGCAAGCGTTCGCTCCCCTGATGGTTCCGGCTCCCCCCGCCCCTTCGCCTCTGCGCTGTTTGTGTCTGTTATTGTTTGTGTGTATCTCTAAATGAGAGGATGTCGTTTTAATCTGCCTCCTCAGATGTGACCTCAGAACAGCTGCTCATGTCTGCCCAGCTGCAGACACATGCTGCAGTGATTTACAGGAGTGTTTTTCACAACAAAGCACCTCTCTGATATGGAAGTGAATATAAACCAGATGTGGTTAGCTGATTAAAGAATCACAAAGCTTATTTAGCTTTAGATAAAGCAAGAATGTGGGAAAGGAGGCAACACACCCATTTGGTGGGTTTTAGCCTGAATCAAAGGGTTAGTAGGTGGCAAAAACATCTCATGGCTACTGTCCGGTATGGTATGGTGGAGGATCTGTGATACTGTGGGCCTGCTTTCACCATGTAACCTAAAAACAGGGAATTAAAGCATGATAACGATTAAGGATTAGGCCTGAACCCTAAAAGAGAACTTTAAAGAGGAGCGGTAGAGCCAATAAATGTAATGCAGGCCGTCTGCCAATATTCACTGATATATTTCTCCCCTCTTCATGAGATTCTTAGTACCCTATTTATTCCTTCCCTTCCTGTCAGAATGAATTCCATGTTTGCATTTGGAGTTATTCTTCCACCAAAGACACACAGTAACAAGCCGGCTCCCGGTGCAAGAACAGGGAACGTGAAAGCTTGCAGAAAGTCTTTGATTTGCATTAGTGAGTCATCCTGCTATTCATCTTCTACATCCCCTAAAGAGATTACCTCCCTGACCCACTGACCCGGAGCCCAGAGGGCCCGGACCTGTGCGAGGCTGGGAAACCAGGAGGTAGATTTGATTAGAGCACAGAGCTCCATGGAGCCACGTGGTCTCCATGATCAAAGGCACCCCCTCCCTTCAGCCTCTACTCACTCCCCACCCTAACCTATCAAATCTTTAAGCGTCCCCACCCCCCCTGATAACACACGAGCCTGGAGAAACTCCCCCTCCCACCTCCTCTTGAAGATTTTTTGGGCGTCTACTCCCTCGCCTCCTCGAATCAGAGCTTTCTACTTCCTGTAGCTGTCGTCTCCATGGTAACACAGTAGCTAGATAAGGCGTACAGGGTGCAGGGATGTCAGAAGAGAAGGATGCAGCTTTTTTGAAGGGGGGGGATGCTGGTTTTCCTTTGGGATCTGGGAAACAGATTGGAAAAGTGTTCAGGAGGCTCCATCATAACATTACCACCCTGATCTTTCAGGGGGACGCATCCCTCCCTCCCTTTCTGCTCCAGAGTAAATGTTTCCACACAAAGGCTCCATTCAGGAGATGGGGGTGAGGGGGGGCTCTCTCTCACCTAAATGTGTGTGAGTGGGACAGCACATGGAGCCACCGCGGTCAGAAACCTGGGGGGAGGCCAGACCTGGAGCTGCGATTACGTTAGCAGTGAGAACAAAGAGAGAAAAGGCTGTGATTTGCACAGCTATGCAGGTTAAATATGAAGCCATTGTAGGAATATCTCAGCCGAACTGTCAGGCTGTGCTTTAAAAACGCAGCTGTGGCTTCATTTTCTGCAGAGCCTCTGACCTTAGCTGGAGTTTAGAGACATTTAACAGTGATTGGAAGGCAGGATCTGACAAGGAAGGAAGTGATGCACTTAATGCTGGATAATGTCAGAGCTAAAAGCTTCATCTCTGTCTGTTGGAAAGGATCAGCTGAGGGTCGCCATGGTGATATTAGCAGGAGTTTGCCTCCCAGATAGGACATTTATGAAACTGTTGTCTTACACTTTAGCACAAGTCTGTTTTCTTTATCTGATGGATGTAAAGGAACGGAAAATGTAAAAAGATGAAAATTGAATCTATTATCATTTGAGTCTCAATTTTTAGTTGCAATGTTTTAAAATAAGGGCAGAAGAGGTAAAAATGTAAATGTTTAACCATTTCTTTCCTCCATTTCAGACAGCCGCAGAACAGCTGAACTGTCACTTTAAGACCCAGCTGGGCTGTTTGCCTTCCATTTCAAAACTTTTAATGCAAAAAAAAATTATTTTTAGGGTAAAAGGACAAATTTTCCTTGCATCACATGTAGGAAAGTTAGGCATCCTTAGAGGTTCAAGAAAATCTGCCAACTTCTCAGATATTCTTTGATATTTAACCCAACATAAATGTGCACAAAAAACCCCCAAAAATAATATTTTCTCCCCAGGTCCAGCTGTCTGTCTGTGGCTGCTTCTCCACCAGTTTGAACATCTACAGACCTATTTTTGGTAAAAGAGCTCCAGCTCATATTTGCAGTCCTTTTTAATCCCAAACTTTGACTGGACCATTCTGATAATGTGCTTTAAACCATTTTAGCTCTGGTTGAAAGATTAGAGCCTCTATGCTAAAGGTTTGTACTGTAACTTTTCTCTTTTCGCATCATTCAAAATGCATCTAAACAGCCTTAGCATAGTGAAAAAATTTTAAGATATTCCTGTAAAGCATTGCAACTACTACGACTACTTTTTTACAATCATGACATTTATTGTAATGCATTTTAGCCTTTAAAATACAACTTGCGCATAATGTCTGACTGCATTATTTTTAAACATTAAATCAGATGTTGCAACATTTCCTCAGCATTAAAGTACACTTTTATTCTATTTAAATGTCCTTGATAGATATTTTTTACTTTTAATATTTTTTGGTACCTCTATTCATAACACTTAAGCAAAGCAAGAAGACCAGCCAGTCACTGTGCGTTTCAAATTCCAGTTTTTATTGGTTGCTGGATTTCAGGTGAACCAATGGCACAAGAGAGATTACTCCACAATATCTCAGAAAAATAGTACAAAATAATACAAAAACGGTTCCAGTTTTACAAAGCAAAGATGTGGACTTCCATTTTCTCTTTTTTTTTTTCTAATTTATTATCCTACTGCCAAAAATCAAAACTCAAGAGTAAGGCACAGTCATTACCACACCTTTACCCTCCCAACATCCAGTTTGCCAAAGGTTTTTCCACTCCATCAAGCCTTTTGTGGAAAACATCAGAAACTAAATTGGACCGACTGGATCCAACCATGCATCGTTTCACAGCTCTGCAGTGATTGGTCGTTTGAAGAGTTTCTGGAGGATTGTGAAAAATCTGGAGATGGATTTCTGTTGGCGAAGAGTGGAGGGAATCCCATGGATGCAGAAAGCTACAGGACTAAACCAACACAAATAAAAACAGATTTCAGTAACGGGATAATTCTGCTCTTTGATGTGGAGCGGAGATGTTAGGGATAGATCACCGTGAGCGATGAGGATGTCTGTAGCACCAGATTCCAGTTAAACAGTTAATCTATCCAGTATCAAAAGCTGGGTCAGCGTAAAGGCTCAGGTGAACGTTTGGTCGAGGAATTTAAAACAAAAATAAAGCAGCTTTCTAAGCCTCCGTTAAATTGTTTCACTACATTAATACTCTAAGCTTTACCATGATAATGTCTGTGCCTTGGACTTGGAGCAAGAAACCAATGCAACTGTGCAAGAGTGCAGCAAACATAAACATGTATCTGCACAGTTTTTAACCTTTTATACCATTTCTCTGGACTACAGCTCTCAGAGGTTTTCAATTTTCCTACAACCTGCTAAGATCTTCCCCCTCTGACCAACCATTAATAATACAGCTAGCGAGCGACACAGGCTTACATCTAAATATCATACATTTGAGATGAAAGGAGCAGGGCTTTATCCCATCAAACATCATCAATTATTTTACACTCAGCTCTTATAAACAAACAAACCCTGAATCTGGACTGATGGAGGCAGAGCACAAAGCTTCCCAAGATCCGTCTCCTCTAAAACAGACCTGGATCACTTGATCCCGGTTAAAGATGGAGGTCTGAGTTTGGAGCTCGGATCGAAGGGAAAAAAGGATCCACCGGTCCAGTTCAGACACCAGGAACACAACCAGGAGGTTCATATTGAGGGAAAGAGGGGCCGTTTAAACGTGGCATCTGCTCAAGGAGCGACAAGTCGTGCAGCGAGACAAATCCAAGCAGGAAAAGTGCACAGCCCTGTGGTAACTATGGCAACAGATACAGGTTGGGGCTGAATGGCAGATCGGACGGTGGAAAAAGAAAAAGGAAGGAAAGGGAGGGAGAGAGGAGCGTCTCCTTCCTTAGAGCGGTGCTGATCTCTCTGTGCAGTTTGTCGACATGTAAAGTCAAAAAGGACGAGATTTAATATGGGGGGAGGAGGGAAGGAGTAGATTTAGGGGGGTGGCGGCATCAGACTGCCTCCATCCCTTAGTACTCCCACATGGTGGCGGTTTCCAGGTCGTCGGCGTTGGCCTTCAGTACGCCGGCGTGGTCCCCGCGGAGGTACTTCCCATCGGCGGCATGGCGGACGGCCAGCTTGTTATAGTCGCAGAACTCGAAGAGGAAGTCGACGGGGGTGTCACTGCTGCTCACCACCGCCTGCTCGTTCCCAACCATCCAGTACTTTCCAGTCGAATCTGCAGGACGGCGATTAAGTAGAGAAAAAATGTCAGGTCTAATTGAATCAAATACAAACATCATAATCGGTCATTTCTGGAGCAAATCTGTCAAAAAAAGAGAAAAGAGGATTTTCATCCCAGACCTTGCAGACTGTAAGCCCCGTCTCTGAACTCCAGAGTGAAGTAGTCGTAGGAGGAGCGGTTGGAGTCCAGCGTGCCGGTCACCTTCCTGCAGCCGATGAAGCCATGCTCTCCACGCAGAACGATGATTGGACGGTTGATCAGCTTCATGATGAACTCCTCAGACTCTCCTGAAGGAAGAGCACATGCTCGTCACACAGTGTTATGTTTATTTATCCACTTCACCTGCAGCATAAAAAAAAAACCCTTAGGGGCAGATTAACAAACGCCGTAATCTGAGACCTGCAGCTGGAGAACCAGCAGCAACGACGCTTGAAATCCTCCCAACAACAAACTTTCTGGTTTCTGTGGGTGCGGCTGTTTGGATACTGCAGAGGAAAACAGCGAGCAAAACCTCATGAAACATCTGAGATTTCAAAAAGCTGAAGCCTTTCATGGTAGATCAGTGTTATAAAGAAAGGGTCTGTTAAAGAGCTCATATTTGATTATAAATAAAAAGCTTCCACCTTTCATTTAAACCTAGAAACTTTATCTGGAAATCTGAGTTATCCAACATCTTTGTTTAAGAGAGCGGTTCAAAAAGGCTGAAATTCCATCTTTTTCCTGATCAGTGAACACACCATGTAGACCCCTTCAGCCATTTTCTAGATGCGTTTAAGCACGAGGTCAGAGGAAATAAAGGAACTGCTCTGACCTCTGCTGACTTTTAGAAAATGGACCGACATGTCAGCCAGCTGATCTTTGGCTGATTCATTATAGCATATTTAGCAGCCATGCTTTAACACAGACGGCTCCTGATTTGCTGCTTCTCTTCATTGGCGACACGCTGGCACAGCTCAATGCTAAGGCAAATAACTTTTAAACTTTTAAGTTAACTTTAACTCAATGATAAATTTTGCTTTTAAGTGTTCCAAACGTTCAATTTTATGCTTTATTTGCTTAAAAAAGCAGATTTTTTCTTTTTTCTAACCTATGTTAAAGTAGTGGTGGCTCAGAAATGATTATGAATAAACTACAAGTCTTAAACTTAAGGATCATATCTTTGTAGAGCTTATTGTCCCTTAGTTGGGAGATTTTCCATCTACATTTTTTACCTAAACTATTTTTGTTTCAGGGACAGTAACTGTCTGCAACCTTTACAGATGCTCTCTAACCACTGCATGGCAATTCCAATCTTTGATTACTGGTAAATTAAATACGACTTTAAACTTAAGACTTAACTTTTGATTTGCAGCATCTCTTTAGCAGCGATTTGTTTTAAAGATGAATAGAACAAGAGCCTGTGACTCAAAAGGTTTGTTTTCCCGCATTTCACAAAGATTACAAGATTACCACTAAAATGGTTCTCTGAACCAACCTTACTTATTGTTTCCATATTCAACACTTTCTTTTTCCAGGTTTATGCAACTGAAAATAAGTTTCCCAGCCTTAAAAAAGGGTAGTTTTTATTTCACCTACTTTTTAATTTGATTTAATAATTTTGTTCTTTTTGATAATTGATACTTGTTCAACATTCGTTATCACGTCATTTGGATATTTTATGTAGAGGAACAGAAACAATATCAACCTAAAGAATCATTGCTAATCCAAAAAAACACAGCTGCACAAATCAGGTAGAATAAAAAAAAATCCACCTGAAAAGATAAAATGAAAAACCCATCTTGGGCGATCTTTATTGCATTTTATTCAGGCTGAGCAACGGTGAGAGAGAGCAAGACTGCAAACCCTCCTGGTTTTATTTTTAGTTCTTCTGATGATTTGAATATCTCAGAGTGAAGATACGGCAAAACATTCTGCAGGAAACAGATTGATTTAGTTATGCTAGGTGTGCTGATCACCAGTATTAAAAGCTAAAGACTATTTAAAGCTATTGGAAAGTTGATATTTTAAATTGCAAATCTAATTTAAAGTTGTGTGACCACTCTGCTTTCTCAACAACTGCTCACTGCAGAAAGGCTGGAAATATTTTTGAATGAAGTTCATTATTGTTTGAAACATTTGAGCAGCTTTTTCTTAATCATTATTTATTTATTTTACTTTTTTAATCGTTTATTTAGTGATTTAAAATGTAAAGTTTTGCAATCATACCAATAAGCATTAAAGCTGGAATCTGCTCCTCCTATAACGTCAAAAATGTATTTACTTTTTGACATATTTAATTAACAGAACAAATTAAATGCATAAAAAACTCCTATTTATATTGATTTTTTCCCACAGATCAAAGAAGACTATATTAAAAATATTCAGTTTTTTTAACAACACTTTCATGGTTTGGGCTTTATAAGGTTAAAATCCAGATCATCAGGGTTAAAGCTTTAATATGACCCTGATTTCTCCTGTTTGCTTAACACAGAAAATAAAAAACAGAAGTGAAGCTAAAATGAAATTGACTGTTTTAGAAGTTCTTCTGATCCACATCTTAGCCTCCATCAGCAGGCTCTCAATGGAAAGAAGAACAAAAACAAGACTTTAAATAAATTATACTTTTAGTTTTTATGATTTTTCAGCTTTTTTTTTTTTATCCAACACAGCAAAGTGGGATTCTGTGTACGCAGAACATTTCAGGTTCCTGGTTCTAATTTCCATAATTAAAGACAGAAAACAACAAACTAAATCTCCCAGAGCTGAAAAACAGCAACGTTTAGCTGCTCCTTTCAGAAACGCTGACAAACAACTGGAGCATCCAGACATGATTTCATTACTTTAACTCCTCTGACCCCCAGTGTGTCAGCGCTCTGCTATAAATCAGTTATCTCCTCGGCTCTGTCAGCGCAGCAGATCAACACCTCCCACCAACCTGCAGAGTCCATGGTGGCGGCAAGCTGGCCGTTTTTCTTGGCAGCCACGTATTTCCCGTTGGCTGCGCGGAGAGTCAGCCGCTTCCCACGCCACTCAATGTCAAAGTAGCAGTTGGTGGACCTGCAGGGAAAAAGATATATATTTTAGCTGGTAGATCAGTTTGAGGCGACTGCATGGAGTGGATAAGGTCATCGACTGCTTCTAGATCATAAAGCTGTTCCACTCGCTCGGTTCAAACCGTCTCACCGATGTTAAGATTTAAGGTCACTTTAGGGAAAGAAAACTGCTTTTCTTTGGCTCAAATAAAACAATAAGAGAATCTTCACTTATAAGTTTTATCTCAGTGAATAAAATGCAGTGTAACATGGAGGCAGTGGCGTCTCCATCAGAGGCCTTCAGGTCCTATGCATTGCTGGGTCCATAGTTTCTCCTTTATTCTAGAGATCAGAGCTCTGCAGCCTGCAACTCCAGGACAGCAAGGGGCTCTAAGAACTTTAAAAATGGCTCTTACATTCAGAGAAAAGAAAATAAAGTTAAAAATCTTAAATATAAAAAATAGATATAACAAACCCATGTTTTAAACATAGAATATCTGAAAGTAAAATTAGCTAAGAGCATCTTACTGATACTTTTTTGATCCATTTTGTTATGGTGAAAAAAAATTTAATTTTACACAACTGAGATTAAAATTTTCTTTTTTTCAAACTCTTAAAAAAAGAAATAAAATGATGGTTCTATATGAATGAAAAAAGATTTCCTGCACTAGATAGTTTATTAATATTTTTTTTATATTTATATATATATATATATATATATATATATATATATATATATATATATATATATATATATATATATATATATATATATATATATATTTTTTTTTTTAAAGGGCATCCAACAGTTACAGCTCTAAAATGTTACTATGCTGGACTAAAACTCAAAAATGTACACCAAGAGTTGTTGATAAGGAGATATGCAGGAAATTATAAGATCTTCCCCCTTTTTCTTTGTGCAAATTGTGTAAAACCTCTTATTTTCTGTTTTTTGACTTTTGGTGTTGGTAATACATGATTGAAATGAAAACTATGAAATCTGTAGAGTTCAGCTCATGTCAGTCGACCACAGTGACAGTAAACCAGTTGGGTAGTGTGGAGAGGCGCTGGTAAATAAGGACCTATAGAAAGATCGACAGCAGAATGCAGCGCAGACCTCCAGCAAACCGAGTAAACCACCAGCTGCAGATGTTACCACACATCAAACCATCACTGACAATCCTCTTCCTACAGACTCGCGACCTCCAACCATCAACTAAAGGAAGAAGCTCCTCATATTCTCTCTGAGTCAGTGGTTTAAACAATGTCCCAGCTGTCCCATGTTCTGAATACTGGGCTGTGGTTCTGGTGAATCTCCATCTACAGGTAAGGTCACATTATGAAACTCCCGCTCCAGATAACAATCAAAAGGGATTTTCCTCTCAATCTCTTTCAGGCTGCAGAAATTTACTTTGTACAGCCTTTCCTGCATTTTCTCCTTCCACTCAACTTTCCATTAATATGCTGGGCTGCAGCAACTTTTGTGGTTTACCCTCCAGGTGCTGTTTACCCAAAAATATTCTGTAGCTTTTAACCATCAAAATGAATGAAACTTTTAAGGCTCTCATTACTTTATAAACAATCATCAAAAGAAGCAAAAAATGCTTAAACTATCTCCTCTGTGTGAAATCAATGTCCATGAACCAAATCAACTAAATCTAAACTTACAGAAAAGCAGCTTTACAGACGTTTGACCCCAGAGGATATCACACACATCGGAGAAAACCGTTTGATCTGAGAACAGATTGGTCAAACGATCCTTTAGTAGGCCTCCATTTAACTGTGTGGAAATCCTTCCATTTGGAAACTCTGATTTTCTCTCCATTTTCAAGAAGCTGATAAACATTTGGAGTGTTTTCTTAACCCCCCATCTGGTTCGCTTGGAGATCAGATTCCTGTGGTCCTGTTGGCAGGAGTCATTTGAGCCAAATCTCAGGAATGTAAGTGAGGAATGTGGGGAAGTTTCTGCAGAGGAATCAGAACAGTAACCCCCCGTCCATTATCATCAAGATGCATAAGGAAACATCTGCAGCTTCAGTTTTTTTTCCTTCTTCCCTCTTTTGCGTTCAGATGACAATAGAGTTTATTTTGCAACAGGAGGAATCCAGTTTTTCCCCTCTTTAAAAAATAAATAAAAATAGAGCTCAAATGGTCAAAAAGAGGATCTCATATTTGAAATGATTCTCCTTTGTGTCATTTAGGGTGAAGGGTCCTTATCCAGGATCATGAGCCTCAGAGGGGAAATCTGTAAACCTGGATCAGAGGTCAGAGGTTAACAGCCTGCTTGGAAAGAACTACTGCACATAAAATACCCCCCCCCAACCAGACACACACTTCATCTCCAACAATGTGGCACTACCAGGACATGAGGTCAGTCACTCTTAACCTCCCACTCTCTGAAAACCCAAACACACACAGACCGACCGCCATGGCAGGGCTCGTGTTACGAGGAAACGCCAACTGCAGTGAGGGACCAGATTTCCTGTTGCAGCCCATCCTGACGAACTGGAACAGGTGTGTTCATGCCGAGTGGGATTCTTACTTGCTAGAGGCGGTACACTGCAGGCCTCCATTAGCGGTCAGAGTCCAGTACTTCCCCGCGGCGGTCCGAAACGCACACTTCCGGTTTTCACGGCAGATCTCCACCTGGAACACCTCCTGGTCGCTTTCTTCATCCTGATTGGCCGACAGGTCCATGCCTAGATGGTAGAGAGTCGATAGAGAGAGGTTAATGAGATGGTCACACACATCCTGTGGTCAGGATCAGAAGAGACTAAATGAGCATCAGGCGGCTCAGATTAGAGGGATTTGACACAGCTGCACACGAGGCCACATCTGTCGGAGCTCCATGAGCTTCAAAGGATCAGCCGTCAGGATGGAGCAGCGTCACCGAGAGCTCCCATAGAGACAGATGTGAGCGTTCTACAGAGATACAGCTTTTATAAATTAAAACCAATTTAAACCCATTTTTAGGTTGGTTCCAGGTAACAATCAGGAACTGACAACTTTTCCCCCAAATCAGCTAATTCCAACAGAAGCAGTAATGAGGCCGAGAAAGAACTGCTACAAACACAAAACACTCTTCAGTGTTGAGGTCGTTACTGTGGGAAGGAAGTTTCAAAGAAACCCGTTTTTGACCCGATATCTCCCCTTCTGACATTCTTAGACTCCCTGATTACCATGATGGCTCCAATGATGAACCGCTGAGATAATGCGTTTGTCAAGATCCCAAACTTTTCAGCTTCTGACCCACATTTCTACAATATTACTATCCAAAAGTATATTAATATTATAAGGAGCATTAGCAGAAAAGGTATTTGGTTTTGTCCTTTAAGTGATGGTTTTGTAACTAAGCATTTTACCATTAAAATTAACTTAATTGATCTCACAATGGAGAAATTAACTCTCTGCATTTAACCCGTCCCTTTGGGGGAGCAGTGGGCTGCCATCATGGGACGCCCAGGGAGAAATTAAATAGTTAAGGGTCTTTGCTCAGACAGCCAGAGAGGCAGTCTGTGGGAATGGATTTCAAACTCACAACCTCAGGATTCCAAGCCGTATGCCCTAACCACCAGGGCGCCACTCGCCTAAAGAGTTTATAGTTTAGTTTAATTTCTGTAGCGGATCTAAAGACCTCCAATTGGTTGATAAAGGACTCCAAATGACATCATAACCTGGAAATCCAACACATTGGATTGTCTTGTCTGTTCCCCAAGACAAAACAACGACCCAAACGAGTTTTATGCCTCATTGTTGAATGAAAAAGCAATCAGAAAACAATTGGGGTGTTGGTTGATCGCCGTCAGTCATCAGTATTTACTATATCCTGCTGTTTGATTGAGAGGTTTTACGATATTTCCTGTCCAACATCGAAATGTAAACAAAAAAAAAACTAAAGCCATCGTTTATACGATTCTTCTTTTAATCGTTGCATGTTTTGTAAATCAACCAGCAATTAGAAAATCCTGCCATGTGAACCAGATATTAGTAAGGAAGTCATTTACCATGGTGACATGTGAGCAGGCTGTGTTTGACTGCACAAGTCGGCCAATCAGAATGAAAAAATGCAATTATAAAAATCAAACAGGCCTCACTCTGGCTTCTAAGAGCAACAAAGTGGTGAATAAATATGATTCAGCTGATGGATGAACAGACACTTCATCCAACACAATGTGGTCTTTTGTCCGCGCCGAGGTGATGGCGAGGCGGGACCTATAGCCAGAGGGCTCCCAGAGAGACCGTTTGGGAACTCTAAATGTGTGCTGAGCAAACCAAACACGGAGAAAGAAAGAGATGTTTGAGGAAAAGGACAAATGGAGTCATGGTTTCACACATGACCCCCCCCCCATTCACCCCAGCTGTTGCCCCTCTACAGCCCTCACAGAGCCTCTGCTCGGGTCAGGGAACGCACGGAGAGAGTTATATTCCAAGAAACCTTATGGAAGGATTTAACGCGAATTTCTGCAGAAACGAACTGGTGCACAACCAAATATTTCAAAACAAACAGATGACTGAGGGGAGCAGGGATCAGAATGGAAACCACGTGGCATTAAGGAGGAGCGCATAAAGAGGATGAAATCTGAGTTTATCTGCTGCAGACAGAGGAGACAACTGCTCTGTTGGACGATCAGTAAACTCAACCAGCTTAATAGTGTCCAGCTTCAAAGCAGGAACGGAAGCAGATCTTAAACATATCGTTTAATCAGGAGTCAGCGTTCATCAGCTGTGAATGGCAGAAAACCCCACAGTTACCAAAGACAGATGCACAGTTACCAGTTATTGGAACCTTTTGCTGCCATGTAAAAATATAAACTTCTACCAGAAACCTGGATAATTAGAGAATTTCATTTGTTTAAATGGAGCATATAACCCAGCCAGAAGTCTGAACGTTCAGGGAAAGCATCCAGGGTTAAAGTTACAGCTCTAATAAATGAGGAATAACTTTTCGGTTGCAGGTTGTTTTGAAAAGCCTCGACAGTATCCTGCTCATTTTTCATGCAAGTGTAACATGAAACGGACGACTAGAGTTTGCATGATGCACCTTTACCTTGATTTGCAGCAAATGAATCATTTGAATAATGTCAAGAGACCTTTCAGCTGTCCTCCCTCTCAGTTTGCCCAGATATTTGAAGAAAAAGCTCCCATTTCAGCAGTGGAAATAAAGCAGAGGAGGACGTTTCATGTTTGAGATGAAACTGGTTCCAATGTTTTCCCTAAAGCATAGAAAATAATATTTTTAAAAGGACACGATGGAGACAAAACACCCCCAAGGCCTGAAAGAGGGAGGGAGGGGGGGATTCTGCCTGCAGCTACAGAACAGATTTAGCTCTACTGATCAGTTTGTGAAGCTCTCAGGGATAAACAGGGGGTGAGGGGTAGATCATGGACAAACTGCATGTCCTTCTCTACTAAAAGTGGTGACCACAGGGGTAGGAAGGTCCTTCAGACGCACAAACAACCCTCCATCTTTGCATCCTCCCCGCCCACCGCATTCAGCCTTGCGGCGGCCAGCTCAGCGGGTCCTCCTCGTTTCCAGAGAGTCTTCACAAGAGGCCTGCTGTGAACGCACGCGATTGCATCAAGGCCGATTGTGTGCCTGTTTGTGTGTGCGTCTATTGTTCTGCAGGCCGGAGCGAGGAGGCGACCAGCTGGAACACAAACAGGGAGCCAGATCAGCAGCCATTATTCTGATCCCAGCAGACAGAACAAGGAGCCAAGGGTCTGACAACAAAGACAGATGTGACTGCATTATGTGTTGGTGGGAGTTGATTCGGGTTCCAGTGTTCAAGTTTGGATCAGGGACACGATCTGCAGGCTGAAGGTCCAGCCTATAATGAAGCAGAAACCCCCTAAGAAGAGGAGGAGGAGAGGCTTCTCTGTGGTTGATGATGCAAAGCTGGGTTGGTAGGCTCTTTAAAAAAAATAAAGCAACACTGAAACATACCGAGCCTCTATAAACACACTTTTACATATCAGCTCACCAACGCTTCACTTCACTGTAAAAGCATGATTGCAACACTCTCCAATTTCATGCAGAGGACTGAAGGCACCGCGCCACAGACGGAGGCCACAAATCATCGCCCTTCATCCTGCATAGATTAGCGCAGCAGACAAGGTCGAATATGTGCGACTCGTGTCTCATTTCCTGTCAGCTGGAGGTGAAGGATGCAGAAAGGGTGTCGGGGTTGAGTCACGGCCAGACGCAACAGCTTCAGTCTGCAGCCTCTACCCTGCACAAGAAAACTTGATAAGGAGTCTAAAACTAACAAAATGAATATTTAAAGGCCCCTCAGGTCCTACTAATTATCATAGATAAAAGGTTCCAAACTGTAACGCTGTTTTTTTCCCCACTTAAAAGGAAAAGGAGGATCATGGCTGGCATTTGTGGATATTTCTTCGTTTGTAGAAATGGAGCAGATTCATTATTTTTATTTCAGTGCCTAAATTCAATCTAAACTGGAAGTTTAGGACAAGGCACTGGTCTTTTAGAAAACGTTTTATATATGGTCATTAATGCAGCCTCTCTATAAAGCAGCGGACTGCAGGTTGGCTATCAAACCACTTTTACAACCAGCTAACTCATAAAAATAGGTTTGTTTCCCAATATATACATTTCAACTTTAAATATTTGGTTAATTTTTTCCTCTTTCTCAAAGTATCAAACAATAGAATCCGATAACGGCTTTATTCCCATCTTGAAATATCCCCTTTAACCATAAACGATCCCTTTTCCATTAATTCTTTTAAGATAATCTGCTTTATATTTTCTGTATTTCCTGGCTTTATTCTAGCTGGTAGAACTACTGCCTCCTTTCTTCATAACAAACCTCGTAAAATCAATTTCGCAGTCAGACTGGAGGTTAGTCACATGAGGCAGCTGGGAAACAAAACCCTAGTGCCACAAGACCAAACGCTCCAGGGCATTTCACTGTAACCCATACAAACCAAACAAAAACTAAAATAAAACTTGCTTCCATTTACAAAGAACAGTCGGTGGTCGCAGAAGAGGATGAGATGTAATGGGCTTCCAGACGTCTTCAGGCCTCAGCTAACAAGTCGAAAGAGCCGAGCGGAGCAGCTTTAAGAGCCACTAAGCTCCAGGCTAAAGGACTGATAATAGCGGTCCTGACCACATGAGGGTCGTTAAATTGTCTCTCTGGGAATTTGCGACCGCTGATGAGAAAAGTGGATGTTATTAACCGGAAACAGGCAAGAGCACAACGTATGCTGCAACGCCTGCATTAAAACGACTAATTTTCCAATTAGTGCAGGGCAATTTTCTCATTGCCTCTGGAAAAAATGACCAACTTTAACATTATACCTTCAGCCTGATAGAAAACCGTAATATAAAGTACTTTGATTTTTATATTGCCAAAAAATGGGGTCTTGTTTGGTTTAAATAAAACTAGCTTGAATCAACGGGATCAATGCTACTACTATATAAAAGGTACAGATGAGCCACATTTAAAAGGCATTTTAAATTAAACTCTTTACCTTGACATCACAGAGCTTATCTGCTTCTTCCAATGCAGACTGCAAGAGAGCGAGAGAGAGCAACACTTTGCAGAGAACACTATGGGTGCGTTCGATTTATGAGATGTGTCCTCCGAAGGCCAGATTCATTGGCCGAGGTCTGGTCGGATTCCAAGACTCCTGGTTATGCGCCCTTCAAATACGTCCTTTTTGCTCGATTTGAAGG